CCACAGTCGCTGACTGTGTATCGTAATAGTATAAATGAGAAAGTGTGTCATAATCAAAATATGTAGAAAATTAAAATATGTAGGAAAAGTACGAAAAGATTGTCGCCGCTGTGGGAATCGAACCCACGTCTTCGGCATTCGCGGCCTGACGCTCTAGCCACTGAGCTAAACGGCTGATAGCGGCTGATAACTCTTTAAAATCCAGGAAAATTGAACGTAGTCTGTAGTGTAGACCTGGTTCATAAATGTAGGCCTTTAAGCTCTTTAGATGCTCCACGAAATTGAAACCCACGCAAGAAAAACCGACTGTAACGACTAGTTGTATATAACAAAGAAAATTAGATACAACTTGAATTTGTGCGCCGCCGTGGAATAATGGAATATTTGCTTTTTTTTGCCAAATTATTTATTAGCCAGCAGCTTATTTTTCAGGTTTAGCTTTAATTTAGATTGTTGTAGTTATTCTGTATTTTAGTATACATTTTATTTGTTTGTTTTTAATTTTATTCTGAAATTAATTTGTTTTTCAGTCTAGTAAATCCTGTAACAATGCTGTGTCACCTAACAAGGTACTAAATGCATCAGAATTTTAGTATATATCTTACTACTTACTTGCTGGTGTCCTTTTTAAATAAATAAATAAGTACGAAGTAAAGTAAAGTAACAGCCTATACATGTCCCACTGTTGGGCAAAGGCCTCCTCTATACAGAGGGTATCAGGGCATAGTCCACCACGCGGCCCCACTGCGGATTGGCGGACTTCACATATCTTCGAAATATTTTTTTTTTTTGTTATTATTTCGAAAATATGCAGGTTTCCTCACGATGTTTTCCTTCACCGCGGAGCACGTGATAAGTCAGCACTTAAAGTTAAAAACTTCATTGGTGCCGGCACCGGGGATCGAACTCAGGTTGCTCGAGTTAAGGGAGAATTAAAGGCGAGCGCCCGGACACTGAGCTATCACGGCTCTTATAATAAGTACGAAGGATAGTTAGGAATTCTAAATATGAATATCAAACCGTCGTAACGTGATGGCAAGCAATTTTCTTAAGAGCATGTACACATTTAGAAAAATAATGTATACAATTTAAAGATAATGTTTCCTCTTCGTGTTTTATATTTAGAAAAATAAACCTCCGGTACCAGGCAATCGTGTCTATGTCGCGGCGGATTTCTAAAACATGAAGTCACTTAGATCTGCTACACTCGGATCAACTGTTTCTGGACCACACCATTTTCCTTTCCTTTATTGGGGATTGAACTTAAAAAACAGAGTTTTATAACAGTTGATAAGGTCAAAATATACTGGAGCACTTCCTTAATTTAATTGAATAATAATATGGTGTGATTGTAGGTCCTTAATTCGTTTCGATATCAGTTCAGTTCAGTGAGTGGTCTTATACAGTAGACGAAATACAAAAATATCCTAGCACTTAATGCCTATCTGCTGCGGGACAAGGGTACTTCCTTCAACTAACGCACCCATTCGCACAGCAACAGAAATTGCATAACTGTACCTGTGGACCATTTAACTTCACTCCAATATTCAGCCTTTACTTTTTATGGTCACTGGGCTTATAACTGGAAAATCACCGAACAACCTCGTGATAGTGAAAACTATCCAATTCGTTACATCACAGTCATGTGTGTAAAACATTTTGGAAGATCCTATATCTTAATATAATCTGGCATTATACTTACATAATGCCAGATCCTTTGACAAGGCGTTTATTAAAGTCTTGGATTTAAACCTTATATTATGCTTAGCACATTCTATAGGTCTACAGGACAGTCTTGACGTGATAAAAATTACACGATGATGAGACAAGTATTCGAGATACAATGTCTAATAAGTATGTAATGTGTTCAAAGCTCGTTGTGAAAATGCCTTGTCATTGTCACTCACGTGTCACGTAATCGCCGCCTTTCATTCCATTTATAAATCTTTTACCCTACACGAAGGTAATTAATATCTGTCCACATTTTCCTATACCCCTCGCGTTTAATAGTAACATTTAAGATATATTTGAATACATATTCTACAGCACTGAGAAGCTTACCAATATACTTGCATAGAAATTATAACGATAACTTTATTAATTATACTTTACTAAACGGTTATACTTAACCGTATTGAAATGAAAGATAAATACATATCCAAACGCAAAATACAAAAATGGTTATGTCATTAACTTATTTCTGTTATTATGTAGTTAATAAATATTTGCAGCTACCATTTAAGTAAAAGTTTGCTTAAAGACACAATATTATATCAGTGTTATTAGTAATGGATAGTAACAAATATCATATTCATTTTGAATTTCAAAGGAAACGTATCTTACCTCACTTCGGTTCAATTCTTGAAGGTCAATAATCTTTTATTTTAATTACCCCCTTACTGAATAAGCTATTGATTTTGAAAGGATATCTGCGTAAAATATGTCTATATTGTTAATGTGCCTCTTAATAGTCTGTGTCTAAATAGTTTTTATAGTCAAAATTGTGAGTAAAAAGAGACTCCTAAGTTATAATTTAATTTTAAAAAGTAACTAACTTATTGTTATTAGTCTTGTATCACTGTTTATGGTTCATTTCGGCATCGATTTATTATAAAGCATGAAGGTCGGCTCTGAAAATCAGCGCTGGTTGGGGTTTTGACTTCCGGCACAGCATAATGCTGAGCTGCTGACCTAATTTATCGATAATAGGGCGTACAATAAAATATTTTTTAACGTTCTGTTTTTGAAATTTTTCTTTCTTTTTATTCTACAGCAGTTATATTTATGTGTTAATTTTGTTTTTTTTTTTAATGTAGTATGTATTACTAAAATATTTATTTATTTTATTCTTTGTTACATTTAGTTTTATTGTGTACGCCCTTTTTCTATTAAATAAATTTATTTTCTTTCTTTCTTCTTTCTTTCTTTCTATATATTATCTAAAAATTATTGCTCATTTCACAGAATTCGCAAGAAGTTTTAATAACCTCTCCATGATTTCATTGCTTATCTCTCAATAAGCGATTTAGTCTCAGTCAAATTGGGTATATAAATAAGCAGATAATACACATGACTGTTAAAAAAAAAATCTATTCTTTTCTTTTTGGTTAAGCCTTTTAATTAATTTGGTATCTAAAGCACCTAAAGCATTTCTCACAAACCAAACATGTCCCATATTAACTAACCATGAAATCGAATTTTATTTATATTTTCCCAAGTTTTGTTTTTAGCGTGGAAGCCCAATTCTCCTTTAAAGATAAAAGTAGCCTTAAAATTTCTTATAATATCAGCTATATACCAGTGAAAGTCTCATTAAAATCCGCTTCCGAGATTATCAAGAACAAACAGACGGACAGCCCCGGTTACCTCATTCACCTCAGACGAAACGCGAGAGTTTAATGATAAATTATAGACCAATTACACTTGTACCAGTGATATCTAAGGTGTTTGAAAAAAATATATATAAGTTCATAAAAGTTCACTAATATCTATTAAAAATTGGTTAAATAATAATAATTTGATCATGAATTTAAATAAGACATACATAATGCATTTCGGAAAACGGACACATAAATTTGAAAATCTTAATATTAATTGTGATAATGATAAAAATAATATTAATGAAGTTGACACAACAAAATTTCTAGGTTTAGTAATAGACTCTTGATCTTAAAAGACAATTAAAGAATTTTTTAATTAATCGAGCATACTACAATATCTTAGAATTTTTGAAGGAAAACAATTTTTCGTAGTATTAAAATTACTTCATATTTTAATATAATTTAATTTGCATTATATTATGTACTAAAAATTGTAAATTGTTTGAATTATCATCTGTTATTTTAATATTGACATTATTTATTGTAACAATTTTATTAATTTCGTAATTAATTTTATTATGACTGAATAATGACATGTTATTATATTTGGCAATAGTATAAAATTTATAATAAACAATATTGCGGTCAATGCACCATCTCTTGTAACCAATTTGTATGCCGTGATACGGCCTGGACATGATAGGAAAATGTATATTTAATATCTTGCATGCAATGTATGTATACCATGTTTTTACAAATAAAGACAATCTATCTACCACATCAGGCCGGTCTTCTTTGAGATATATCCCGGACGCGCCTGCCCATTCATGCAACAGCTACCCTACCGCAGTTATTTTGACACTTAAATATCTTTTGTTATGTTTTTTACTATTAGTTGTTATGGCGGCAAAAGAAATACATTATCCATGAAAATTGTCAACTGTCTAACTATCACGGTTCATGACAAAAAAGCCTGGTGACAGACGGACAGACAGCGGAAACTTATTGATAGGGTCCCGTTTTACCTTTTGGGAAAACCCTAAAAATAATGAGAACCTAATGCATTTACTCATAATTTTTGACTTTTAGATTTCGGGCTTTAATAATGTAGTAGATCAAAGGTAAACAGCAACAAATAACCGAATGTACCCGAATTTCACAGCAACCGCGGAATGGCACTACCAGTGGTGACGAGCCTTAATTAGCCCTTTGAACAGCAGTTTTCCATGTTAGCAGTTACGTGCCGGTCAAACATTATCGGTGGCTTCGACGCCACGTGTAATCTAGAATATCATTTACCAGTGAAGTAATAAAATCAGCTATCAATTTTTATAAAAGTAATATTAAAATATTAACTGAGAATTCCATCAAAATGAATGGAATTTGGTATATAACTCGATATAATTTTTATGGCCATTTATAAAATGAGGTCGGAAATAGATTATGCATTGTAGAAACTCGCCACATCACTTGAAACAAAATAAGATCGACCTAGTTGCTTAATTATTGGTGAGATGTAACATTATCGAGACATGTAGAGATACTTAGAGACACAACATACTGGTGCTTAGTCCGGCTTTCGCGCCTTACAGTGAACCCCTGGGTTGTAGGCGTGGGTGACTGCCACTCAATACGGGGCTAGTGAGTAGTATTGTGCTAATTGCACGGGGACATCACCATATGGCCGGACTAGACATCCCGGCACCCAAAGAGGTGAGGCCTTTTTGTATGTAGGTTATATCGAACTCGCACCGACTAAAACCCCCACGATATTCCACCCAGGGGGCTTATTGGCATACTTCCACTACTGCTGCCCACTTCAGGAACAACATCCTCTCCTCCAGGCAAACGCGCGGGGAAATTAAGCACACCTTCCTACTCTGCTTATTTTATGTGGCCAAAGGACACGTCAAAAGCCATATGCGCCAATATAAACGTATATACCATTAATTGATTGGACATAGTTAAACAAGAATGTCTGAAATTGGATTCTGTGCATTATTTTGAGGTTTAAACTAAAGATACTAGTTGTGGATCAAACACCTATTTATTATCTTCATATTCCATGATTCATCATCGTCATTATATCACCCTGCTAAGATAGTTGCAAAATAATTCGGCACTACCTAAATAATTGAAATGGTAATCAGGTTTTAGTACTTTTATGACAAATATTGTTCTTTTCAGAATTAAAGAGCACGTATAAATTCAGTCGTGATAAAATTAAGAAATACATATAAAGAAATGATAAGCACGTAATTCTATCGTGTTTCTGCCGCAATTAGTTCCGACGCAGTCTCTCGGTTGGCACTAAGATTGATTTGGGACGGCTGAAATTAACGAATCTAGTCACTATACTTAGCTTCGCTTAATGTACTTGGTATGACATCGGTCAGACCGTCCAATGTTACGTCGGCATTAATATTATTGCCTCATTTTTTTCAAATTTATCCCTATGCGTATGCCATCGACTGTAACGATTAATATCATGTCTTTATCAATAATATCATGATTAATCTGCCTTCGTTTGATGTAGTCAAGATTAAAATAAATGGAAGCTTGTTTATTTGCCTGGTAATATTTAATTGTATTTCAGATGTGACAATTTTTACCAATTAAAGTTAATAAAAGATGTTTCCATTAACTGCTGTAAAACATCTGTAATATTTGTTATATAAAAGTATCAGCCTATACATGTCCCACCGCTGGGCAAATGCCTCCTCTGTACAGAGGGTATCAGGGCATAGTCCACCACGCAGCCCCACTGCGGATTGGCGGACTTCACATATCTTCAAATGATTTTATTTTTATTCTTATTTCGAAAATATGTCACATATATCACGATGTTTTCCTTCACCGCTGAGCACGTGATAATTCTGCACTTGAAATTAACAATTTCATTGGTGCTGGAACCGGGGATCAAACTCAGGTTGCTCGAGTATATTGAATTGAAGGCGAGCGCCCGGTAACTGAGCTATCACGGCTCTTCTTTTTTCAATTATTAATGTTTACATTAATTGAAACCATAGAACAAATAATATACACTTTCAATTCACTATACACATCAATTACAGTATTATCTTAAATAGGTATATAAAAATGGATTGCTGTTCGTTAGTTTCGCTAAAACACGAGAACGGCTGGACCGATTTGGCTAATTTTGGTTTTGAAATATTTGTGGCAGTCCAGGGAAGGTTTAAACGATGAGAAATTGTGGAAAAATTACATGGAAAATCGAAACAGCAACAATTTTATTTTCCCATACAAACTGTTCCTGTCAAACATTTTATGTGTGCGTTCCGAAAATTCTTTTTCTATGTGTTCAGATTCACATATTCCATAGAAATAATTCGTATGGCAAAACAACCTTTGCTGGGTCAGCTAGTAATGAATAAAGAAATAAATACCATTAATTAAAAGCGTACGACAATGGGTCATTCATTTGCTGAAATAGAGTTCCAATTTCGCGTCACAAAAGTTCTTTTTCTGTATCTTTTGTTTTAATGCTTTTTTTGTTATTTAAGTGGTGTCAAAATAAAGAGATTTTCTTTCGTTCTTTCTAGAGCGAGTTACATTATCTATTTAACTTTTTCATACCTAACTGACGCAAAAGTAGCTCCAAATTGTAATTAAGTACTTCTGACTAGTGCGAACAGCAATAAATCAATCAAAACGTATTTTTATTATTAAAGACGGAACACAAACAGACTCCAAGACAACGTTAATAAAACTCTGAATAAACTTTCGAGCACCGCGTCACCTCTGATCTTTTCGATATTAATAAAGTTACTTCGGGACTTTGTTTAGAAATATTTTGCTAACGATAACAAAGTGATACAGTATATACAGTAACTTCAGTTAACTTAAACTTCCTTTTCAATGGAATACGATTGTTCTTTTCAGAATTAAACCACTCATATTGACTGTACAAGAAGAGGGCAACATCTCTCGGTCGAATCATCGTTGTTAAACCTTGTTTGATATTGTTTCTGTGTGCTAAGGACATAACAATATGACATAATATTTAAACTGTTTTGTAAACAATTGTACTTTAATGTTAAGTAGAAGATAATTATTAGGAATCATTTAATTATAGGATAATTATTAGGAAATTACCAGTAATTGTTAACTAGTGCAGAGTTATTTGTTTACTTTTCCCGTAATGTTATTTACATTGTTATAATTTATAAGACCCTCCACCCCGATATTCATTCAGTCCGTTATAAATTTCCGAGCAGCCCTATAGTCAGCAGTAATAAATATACTTCGATATATCGTCAATCTGCTGGCATTTAAAAATAACCTCCGGCCACTCGAACATACATGTTTAGTGATAGAAGTGGTATTGCGTATAAGGCTATGAAACATTACAGTCCTTTAATCCTGCCAAGCATTTGGACGGGCGGATCTCCAGTTCTAAACGTCACTACGCGTACTGGAGAACTCACTGGAAGAAGGATGATGATAACGAGGCTCCAGGCAGTCCTCGACAGCCGCGAAGTCGAACGAAGTCACACGAAGCATTCACGAACACATCGAACACTGGACGAATGTTTTTCTTCACTAGGACAGGCCAGTGCCACAGATAGAATTCTACGGATGAGTTGATTTTCGGCAGTGGGGTTCGAAAGAAGTGACACAGCGAGGCAAACCGGAGTCCACAGTATACAACTAAATCTTGCAAGTGAGTCGTATAATTGTTGCTGTATTGTGTACTTTTATGTACTTTATTTGAATTTACTAGGAAATAACAGGATTTTATAGAGAACAAAATAATTTATTTATTTATTCTTTATTGAAAACACCTCAAAAGGGTTACAAAGGGCGGACTTAATGCCTATTGGCATTCTCTACCAGTCAACCTGGGGCGTGAGGAGAAATCGTGGTAGGGGCAATAAATAAAATTGCATAATAAATTTATGTGTCTTAAATAATAATATATGCACATCATATAACTCCAAGTAATCTAGAATTTATTGTGAAATTAAAAAGATTTATAGGAATCCATATCATCGGACTATTATTTTGCTTTGTAATTTAAGTAAATTATTGTTTATAACTAATAGATATCAACGTTGAAGAAAGAATAATTAACAAATACGATGGTCATAAGACAAATTAATATGTGTTCGTCGAAACTGCAAAAATGCGTTCACTTTAGTAAAACCGTGAATTTTGAAGTAATGTATTTCAGTTATATTTCTATTTTTAACTTCTTACAGCAATCACCTGATATAATATCTATTGATGGTAAAACTTAATTAATATAACTTTCGAAATCTAATGTTTGAGTTTGTTGCATTATATTACTTGTATACAATTTTCAATTGTCTGATGAATATTTCCATCTTTTTATTAGGTCTACATCAATAGGCTCTTTATTTTCTACAATTAAATGTGCCTATTCCTTTTCTAGGTATTTCAATTTTATGGTGTAGTTTATACCATTGTTCTGTTTGTATACAGTCTACTCTTTTCTTATATTCATTAGGCAATTGTGTTACCGTACATCAATTTGGTATCACATGTTTTGCTTTTATGTACAGAATGTTAGGCAGTTTCTAAATTGTATTTCTCTTTATTCTGCAGGATTGATTTAAATTCCCTATACTCAGTAGTATTGATTTAAATTCACGTGATACACTGATTTAACATAATTAATGATTATTTTTACTCGAAATTTTATAGTATTCAATAATAGGTATAACGAGTATAAAAGTGTAATCACTACTTTTAATTGGAACTGGTAAAACATAATAAATCGTAACTAACAAGAGTATTCAAACTAGTTTTTATTACAAAAACAAGTTTTTCATTAGCTAACGATAATAATTCTGGAATATATTTTTTAATTAGCTCTAGAGAGTGAATGAAATATGAAAAAGTTTTTCTTAATTCCATTCCATACTGTTTCGGAATTATGATAATCGGATGAATAGCATAATTCTTTGCTAATAAAATTGAGATAATTATTGTTGAATTTCATTATTAATTTCAATCGTTATAAGAGTCAATAATGACATGTGTTCGGCAATATCTTGTTTCATTTAAATTTTGAATATTTTATCACCTATCACTTTTGTATAATATGATAAGGAGTTAATATGTTTATTTAATAATTTTTTATTAAGATTTAAATCTGCACAGTTAAAATTAGAAATAGTCGACTTAACTGTATTAGATAAATCGTTCAGTAAATTCAAAACTTCGTGTTCATTTTTATCAAAATGTTGAATTGCATTCGTAAACCTTTTTCGCGTCTTCAGCATTCAGTGCTCCAAACAATACTTTGAAAATACTTCCTACTGCATCTATATATGCAACCGGTTAATTCCTTAAGAATGTTTTCTTGAATAGTAAATTAAGGAATTACTTATCTGTTATAAGAATACGAGTAGCGTAATCTTGGAACAGATTAAGTAATGTTTTGTAAAAGATTCATGATCACAAAAATATTTGGTTCTAATATAGGTAACATGAATAAACTTATTTTTCTATGAATATCTGCTATAGATAATCTAAAAAATATGTTATCAAATTTCATGCGCTAAAAAAATTATTTACTTTTCCTAGATTTTCGAAGTAAATACCTCCTTTATCCATTATATTGGATTTATTTTATCCATATATTAGTTGGATTATCCCATCTTTTAACTTTCTCATTGGTACTTAACTCCTCGTTAAGAGCTTCGAATATCTATACGATTTTTTATTAATAGGAACATTATTACTTGTAGTTATCTCATTCATAGCTGCATTTGTTGACGTTAACCTATCTCCTTCTAAATGAAATATATGATTATACTTTTGACATAATTCTATTAATGATTCCTTTCCTCTTTATTCAAATTATCAGTAACTTGTTTAAGTTATTTAAACGATTTCCTTTGTACGCGTTTTCATTCTTAATTTTATTTACGTTAATTGTTGCATTCATCCCTTGTTTATCATTAGCTTGTTTTACTCTAATTAACTCATCGGTTTGCTGGTTATCAATAGCTAACAGTTCTAACTTCACAAACAATTTATTTATTCTCACTTCCTTATCTGTCGTATTCAAACACACTGTTAATGCTTTGTTATCGTGAACTTTAACTATACGCGGACATAAATAATATAATAATATACATATAATATATAAATAAACACCTCCTGGTATCTTAATTGGTTCCGATATTATTTCTTCCTTCAAATTAGGGCTCTCTACACAAGTAGAAATTACTTTTTCGTATCTTAGTTCTTTGACCAAGAAATCACTTAAATCAAATAAACATTTATTTCTTTCTTAAAGTTTTTTGATGACCCTTACAAACTCATCCATAACTATTATTTACCCGTGAACAAACTTCACAATCGCTTTCAAACATATTACTTCCTAAATCTTCATAACATATATCATTTACACTTTTTTTTCGTATATCCTTTCAAATCTTCACAAATTTGATTTCCTCATTTTCAATACCCAACTGTCTACCACATATTCTGATTTTATTATCTTTAGAACTTATTATCGAGTCCGTTTTTTACAAGAAATTGCTACTTGCGACTCCACCGCATTAAATAGAAAAGTTATCCTGTATCACATAAAGCGTTTCATATACTCTTTTGATTCCTATATCAAATGTCAACCGGGTATATACAGTTGTATTAGTCGGAATAGCGCCTTTATCTATTCCTTTTAATTTAATTTTCATATAACAATGTTTGCCCCATATAACGAAGTTATTTTTATTAACGTAACTTTGCATTACTCCTATTATTCGTTTCGATATCATAACGATTTGCGGTATCACTCGAACGTATGTACTTATGTATTTCATTACTTTGTTTGGTGTCCGGAATAAGTTGTAGGATAGTAGAAATGGGCATTTCTACAGTTTTAAAGTCCAAAGAGACATCAGAGGATTTTGAAATTTTGAATATTGAAAAAAAAAACGAACTAATCATCTACCACAACAATACAATACAGATCGTGTTTTTCATAGTGCAGGTTGGACAATCCGATCAGAAGCCTTCGTTTACCGCGTTTCTCCACATTTTTTATCAACATAACTCAGAAGTTAGGAACAGATCCCTGTATCAATAAGGAATATATTTTGTTTCCCAACATATTTGAGGAATCTAATTTTATGTATGACGAAATACGCGTATATTTTATTCGGCCTGAATCTAATTTGTTGTCCTTGGGTTGTTCGCGGGCCTTGGATTTAAAATGTTTATTTTCATTACTCATATTACTACTTTACTTATTAAAACGATTTATATATTGCTCGCATGATTGAAACAACTATTCTGAGAGGTTTGACCATTATTACGATTATTCGGATTATTCCAACAGTTTTCAGATACCTGTCTTTTTTTCTTACAATAACAATAACATATTGATTGTTATTGTAATACCTAATTATAGGTTGATTTCTAGATTGGTGAGCTAAATGGTTTAATTTATTGCAATTTGTACATTATTTATTCCCGTATTATAATTTTGTCTGGCACTCATTTCTTAAATGGCCATAATTTCTTGCACTTTCTTGCAAATCGCCATAGAAACAGCATCTTCAAACGATGAGGTTTTCCGAGATTTTAACAAAAAGGAAGTTGGGGTAGAAGACCACTAATAAAAACATATAGTACTTGAAATTTAAATTGTTTATAGTGCTAATCTCTGCACTTAAGATTAAAATTTGTAGAAAAAGTACGAAAAGATTGTCGCCGCTGTGGAAATCGAACCCACGTCTTCGGCATTCGCGGCCTGACGCTTTAGCCACTAAGCTAAACGGCAGTCTCTCGTTCGAATTATCATTGTAAAACGATATTCAAACTTGTTTGTATGCTAGAAAGGATATAACAATGGATGCACCAAGCATTGCTTCAAATGCTAAAAACAATGTAGATAAAACACGTTAAGATTTTCAGCCGTTTAGCTTAGTGGCTAAAGCCTCAGGCTTCTGTCTTTTTCTACAAATTTTAATTTAATAAAAAAATAAATAAAATAAAAATTTCATTTATTTCCATAATCTTTGTAACAACTTCTTGCCGAGTTTAATTTAGTATTTGATTTTTAATAATTCTATATTCCCTTCGTGATCTTCTTTTGTTAATTTAGGATCCAAAGATTTTATTATTTTATATAGCGGTTTCCAACAATACTATAGTATTTTGAAATAGATTTGTTCCGACTCTGTCCGCACGTTGAGTTCGTATTACCTCTGTACAAATGTACTTTGTTGTGAATTATTTTCTAATAAATGTATTTTTTTCCCATGATGAAGATGTTTTGAACTTTACATAGCACTATTGAGTCAAACATAATTTTTTAGACGTGACCTAATAAAGCGAAGCCATTATTGCATTTTTCGATGAGCATGTGTTGCCTTATCACCATCGTATTTGTATACTCATCCTTTGTTTGAATTAGAAAAGTTACAAATTAGATAAAATTAAAAATTTTATTGATCAAATGGAAAACGAAACCATTATATATAGTTAATGATAATTTTGCCTAAATTGTTTTCTATGTTTACTTAATTAAAAAAAACAAAGAATTTTGTAATGGAAATGAAAGATAATTAGCATTAGATATCCT